AAAATGTGATGTGCTTTCCTTCATTTTTGCTACTTTTTGGTCATCCCCCCCCCCCAGTAACCGGGTCATACCCTCCCTGCTGCTGTATGTGAAGGATAAAGATCCCAGTGTTCTCCCTCCTGCCATATGGAAGAATTCCCTCTTCTAATATCAGACCATAGTGGAAAAGGGTAAAAAAAAAAGGGCTAAATTAGGATCCAGCTTGAGAATTAGCTCCTGCTAAGGGATCTGCAGCCCCTCGGTGTACAGACCCCTACTGCAGTGGTAGAGGCAGTGGGAGGACAGTAGGGGAGAAAGCACCTTGGTCAGAGCAGGAAATCTCTCTTTATTGCCAGTGCTTGGAGTTTATTGCTTGTTAAACTGAAGGCTCTCACATCTTGCAAGCATTTTATGTGAAGACACTCCATATATAATAAGGGTGGTTACATCCAATGCATAATTTCTGAGCTTCCCAGCCTGTGGCATTGGAATTCACCCCCATAGCAGGCAAAAATGGTGCGGTGTTAAAAAACCTCCAATGACAACTTGCGATAGCATCACAGCTGTGAAAAAAGGGAGTGCTTTTACAACCTGAGGAAGAAAGACCACGAAGGGCTTGTAAACAAGATAGACATGCCATCACATACTGGAAGTACGATGTCACCTCCTGTGATTTATAGTGCGAGCAAATATATACATGCATATGGGGGGAAAACTCACCCAGAACTTAACACTTCCAGAAGTAACGATTAATTCTGGCTGATGGCACATGGGGCACGTAGCTTAGGAGAAACCAGCAAGTGCCCTTCTCCCTGCAGTCAGGGTCAGATGATTTTAGCATGGCTCAAGAAGAACATGAAGAAAAGTACTATCCTGCACCAGCAGCATGTCGAGGGAAGGCTGCAGTGGGGAGGCCCATCCCAAGCAGCTGCTGAAGAGGAGCACAGAGCGGCCAAGGCCAGGATTCATTGGAAACCAAGGTTTGTACTGTTCTCTTGGAAACAGAAAGACTGTGTTATTTTTGCAAACAGAAATCTAGTTTGTGGTTAGCTTCTGGCAGCAGGTGGCTGCTTTGGACCCTCTCTGAAAATAAGCACAAATAAAACCACATTTTAGCCTGCTATGAAGACAAAATGGTGCCTGTTTGGCTCTCTGCTTGCCCAGAAGTTTATGCTGAAACCAGTCCTCTAAGAGGTGAAGGGGGGCGGGTTTTCCTCTGTATGGGAGGCACCATGCCCTGAGCAGCTGCTAGACCAGGAGTTCTTGTTTGTTAAGTGATACTCCCTGCCCCATCTTCCCATTGAGGAATGTGAATGTTATCCGCCGTGCTCTAATCCCCTGGCCCCCCAAAAGAGGTTACTGCTTCCATCGAGATACGAAGCAGATTTTTCTCCCTTGTATTCAAACATTTTATTCCACTTCATACTCTAAAAAGCTGGTGGTGCCTTTTCAACGCTCTGGGAAAAGACATGGACCATATTAAGCAATGGTTTGGAAGGCCCGATTCCAAGTTTTTGAGTGCTTCGGGCTGACATACGCACAGCAAGTGATGGTCAGGAATGACAACGCAGCTGGGTTGGGAGTGCTTATGATACTCCAGTTATTTTTCCATCTTTGAGCAAAGAGAAATGATCCTGCAGTACAAGTACAAATGCTGCTGTCTAATTTACCCACTGAATTATTGTTATTTGCCAAATTAGGAGTGTGTAAGTGAAAGGTTAGCACAGCAAAGCCTGCCTCTTCAGCATCACAGTGTGGCAAATCCTTCTCTTGACTAGGACTTCTGTCATGGTGATGTGATACCAAAGGGCTGTATTTACCTCCAACTTCCAACAAAAGCTTTGTGGGTCCAAGCTCCATTCCAGGACAGCCATTCAATGGAGATACAGCATTTTTTAGACAATGTGGATGGTGCTGCTGGAGCCCAGAGCAGGAGAAGGGACCTGGGTTCCCTGCAGCCACGTGTGAATGAGTGCACCTGGACCCCTTTCCATGGCTGGGTCCTTCCCTCCAGGAAAACAGGAAAAAGCCAAGAGGAAGGCAAGAGGGAAAACCCAAAGATTATGAAATAAAATGCAGACAGGGGCAGGAAAGGGGGGCATTGCCTGTGACCAGCACCAGAGCCAACAGGACGTTACAGGCAATGAGCACCATCTGAAGAAAGAAGAAACCTCATCAGGCAACAAGCAGTTGCTCCACGAATAATGCAGCACTAGGGGACACTATTGTACCATAAACTGCAGCACATACAGAGGAAAAAACCAGTCCAATTTCAAGAAAGAAACCTAACACTTCACTTTTTTGAGGCATTCCTGACACCAGCGCTGTACCAGGATGGCACTTTGTCCCCTCTTCCCACCCCTTGTCATTTTTTAGAGACCATACAAATGCCACAACTTCGAACTCACCTTGTGACAGTAACGGCTCCTGTTTCCTGGCACCCGTTTCTCTCCAGGTCCTTCATCCTGAGCAGAACCCGAGCAGCATTTGCTGCAAGGATAGCACTTTGGTTTGTTCCGTGAAGCAGGGTCACAAGCAGGGGACGACTGCCCTTGGCTCTCACGTGGAGCTGGGTTTCTGCTGAGCTGACAGCAAAGCTTCCTCCTCAGCAGTATGGGCTGGAGTTCTATAACTAAATAACATGCTGCAGATCCTGCATCTGTTCTGGGAAAAACTAAGCAGAAAACATCATTCTCGGTAGACTTTTCCATGCAAGAACCTGTGTGTGATACATGGCCACGTAGGACACCCAAATACATCGTGCTCACCAAAAGCTTTACTTCCTTCCAGGTGTCTTGTAAGCATTTCCTATCTGTAAATACAGATCTGTTGAGGTCCCAACTGCTATTGGTTGGGGTGCTCCACCTCTGCAAAACCTACCAAGACCCCAATTGCCCTCAGATGATGCCCCAAATCCACTGAAGTTGGCAGCAAAGGCCAGTTTGTCTGGACCAAATTCCAGCTCCAAGCCAGCATGTCCTCCCACATACATCCTTATAGATTATTGTTATGCGAGTATTACGCTAGTGCTGTATGTAGACAAAAGTGCATTGTAGGGAATAAGAATCTGTATGCAAAGACAGAAAACGGTGGTTGGTAACATTTTACTTACAACATTGTCATTTAATTTTCAGCAAGCTTTTTTTAAGTAGTCTTCCCTATTGCACAAAACCACTGCCATTTCTCTTGCCATGACCATTGTCTCATTAAAAAAATAAAATAGGAAAGATACACCTCTGGTACAATAGAAATGCTTGCAATATACATAAATGGTGCTTCACTGTACAATATTTTAATATTTGGGAATATGCATATTATTCCTACGTGTTCTTTCATTCAGTTTTCCCTGATTTCTATTTACAGTTGCACAATGCTTTTAATGCCCAGAAACAGAGCTAGAATACTCAGTGCTAAGCCTTGAAAAGAAGTTTTAGCCAACTCTCACTCATTTTCTCATAGCAGCCTACAGGTCTAGCTGTGAGCTAGACGTTTTGCCCTCTATGTTTAGGGGGAGCTGTAACACTCCTGTACACCAGCAGCTTCCAGCCCTCTTCCGCTTCACACATCCTTGCAATTTTTATAAAGGGGTTTCAGATCTTGTTGAAAATTCACATCCTTAAGGTATCTGAAGGCAATTTTGCCTTTTTAAGTGCTTTTTGATGACCCAGGGATACACAGAGTGTGGTATAAACAGTGAACTTACTCATCTCTATCTGTAAAGAGTTTCTCAAGCAGAACACTGCTCCAAGCCAAACTGCCTTTGCCCACTCCTATTCTACAGTATTAAAATGGATTTCTTTAAGATTACATCAAGTAACATCATAAATACCACATCAAAACATACTCGCCATTGATATATCAACCACTTTTCCCACTAGGAGTCTTAATCCTATAAGAATTTGTTTCTTTTCTGAAGCATCACACATCTCTAGCTGGGCTTTGCTCCAGCAAAAGGCAGGCAGCGCTACTTTTCCATGAGGTTCACTGGAAAAGCATGGGAATGTTTCCCTCTGTCCAAGACTCTGGCATTTTTCTTTACCTAAGAAACATAGCCCAATCTGGTTTTCCACTATACGGGTCTTTCTAGAGACCTTTCCAAAGGCCTTGGGTTGCCCCTTTTCTGCAACATGAGAGGAAGATGAACACTCTTGAGCAAGTCAAGTATTCTAAATAGCTTTTTTTAAGAACAACTTCTGCCTTTTTTTTTTAATATTTCTTTAAAAACCTTGGCCACTATCTCAGAAAGGCCTGATCCTGCACTGACTCTGGGTACCCAGACCCATGCTTTAAGGTAAAAGCTCCCAAAGAGCTGGAGTGATAATCCATCACTTCCAGGACCAGTCCCATTCAAATAAGTTTCAGATGGACACAAGGACACTGCAGTTTTAAAACTGCTCCCACAGGTAAGATTCTTCTAGAAATCCAAAAGACACTGGCAGAGCTACTGCCCATGAAAACGTGGCCAAGGAGCTGCCCCTTCGGGGTGGGAGACGAGCTTCAAGCCCGAGTTCTTGTGTTTGCAGAGCCCGGCACCAGCCCTGCAAGCCTTCCACATACAATTATCTGGAAAACTGCACTCCAAAGCAGAAGCAGCTGGAACAGGGCAGGAATTACCCTGGCCTTTGCTGTGTAAATAATTTAGTGGCTGTTTGAAGATCCTGTGAAAACTCTGCCCTCCTCATTTGCCACTTGCTCCCTGAACACCACTGGGCTGTGCACAGCAAATGTGTTTACATTTCCCACCAACACAAACGCTGTTTGTCAAGCTGTGACATGAAGCTAATGCCCAAATACAGGCTCTGAAGAGTTTGCTTGTGCGAGTTTATCATCAGATCAATAGTTTTCTGGTGCTGGCTCCTCCATCCTAAATGGCTGTGTGTGTCCAAGCAGTGCTCCTGGGGAAGCAGCTGCCCATCCCCAGCAGTGGCTGTAGTACCAAGTAGCCTAAATCGTGGATCATACACAGTTATTCCATATCTCACTGCTATGAAGGCTTGTGAGCCTCCATCATGTCTTATTTCTACTGTCCATCTGAGATCTTGGGGGAGGATTTAGCTTCCGTATGAAGGGGCCACAGCTGCCTTTTCATTCTCCTTATGGCTGTCTCCAAAGGGTTCTTCATCTTTCTCCTTCATGGAGAACTTCTTCCTGAAGGCTTGTGTCAAGCTGGAAGAAGAAGCCTTCCTAAATGTGGTAAGTCTCTTCCGAAAGTTGCCCCCTGAGAAGAAATAGAGAAGTGGGTCAAAGCAGCAGTTGGAAGCTGCCAAGGGGAGCGTTACCACAACCGATTTCTGTAGGTATATGGCATCCTCACAGCTGGCATTCTTCAGCCTCAGCACGTGGAGGTGGACCGTACGTAGAACATGGTATGGGGTGAAGCTCACCAGGAAGGTGACAGTCACTATGATGATCATCCAGACTGCCTTCTTGTGGTTAGCCCGGTTCTTCTTCAAGGAGTTTTTCATTAAGGCCCTTATGATCATGGTGTAGCAGATAGTTATGACAATAAAGGGAAGGATGAAACCCACAGTAAGGGCAATAAAATCCAGGATCACAACTAAATTTGTCTTCTGAGAGTTTTCTGGGGGTTCAAAGCATTTGGTCTTGTTGCCATGTTGGTACGTCCCATTCCGCAGAAAGGGAGCGCTTGTCAGGGTGACAAAAATCCAGATGCCAATGCAGACAAACTTCGCCCTCCTCTCCGATACCAGATTGATGTTCTGGACTGGAAAAACAATGGCTATGCAGCGGAAGAAGCTCATTGCAGTCATGAAAAAGATGCTGCAGTAGAGGTTGACGTACAGTGCGTATGAACTGACCCTGCATAGGAAGTCACTGAAGAACCAGTTTCCCTTGTGAAGGTAGTAGACGACACGCAGGGGCAGGGTGGCCACGCAGAGGAAGTCGGACACAGCAAGGTTCAGCATGTACACCTGGAAGGCTGTCTTTTGACGATATGTCTTTATGAGGACGTAGAGCACAAACCCATTGCCAACAAAGCCCATAATGCTGATCATGGAGTAGAGTGAGGAATAGACTTTGTTTCGGAAGTCATCGATGGAGTGATGGCATGACAAGTTATCAAACAGCATTGTCATGTTGGCTGGCTGGAGCACTGATTCTGCCTGGTGATGAATGTCAGGCCTAAGGATGAAAAGCCTCAGGTGAGATGTAAAGCAGCACATGAAAATTAAATGCCATTATTAGATAGGAGGAAAAAACTGCCACCTCTCCCTACAACAGAGAACAGGGAAGAAGGGGCGTAGATTGGCACCTATTTGTGTTATTATAACAATCCACTACAGCCACCTTTCTTAACAGGGGACCAACTTGGCAGCATCTTTCTTCCACTGAAAATCTCCAACTCCTTACAAACCTAGGTAGCTACTCATTGAAACAGCAGAGAGGAATAATGAAGGTGGCAACAGCTCTGTGCAAGTTAAAATAGAAAGACCAGATCTGGACCGTAAGGATTGCTCAGTTCTGCCTCTGCATTGCCTGGCAAATGCTGCCTCACTGGGCTCCACCTCCAAGTCTGCCTGCAGAAGGACAGGTCACTGCAGGAAAAAGTCTGCAAGGTTTCCAAAAGAGTAAAGGTGGTCACCTCTGCTCACAGGTAGCACCATTTCTTAAGCTTGCTTCATTAATAGTGATTAATAATACTAGCTTTGGAAAAGATACTGCTTATTCCATGTGATGAGCAAGAAGGATCCCTGTAGCAGAGAAGACACCACAGGGCTCCAGTTTCTCTGGCACTGGCTAAGCAAAGGTACTGCTGCAACACCAGCAGATGGAGGAGAAGGCTGGAGGGAGGCTCAAATAGATCAAACCTCTGGGTCTGGAGACATCTCTCCTATCAAGGTAACTCCCTAGCAAAGGGTTTCTTCTTGGAGTTGCTTTTGCACCTTACCTTGGTTTACATTCACAGGTCTGGGGCTCTCCGGAGCGGTCAGGAGGATTTTCAGATCCGCTCAGCTAGTCTTCCATGACATGTTATTGTTTCCTTTTCGTGTTCATTTGAGCGCAGCCAGACATGACGCTCTGAAAATTTCTGTTGTCTTAAAGTAAAGCAAGAGAAAAATACACACGTATTTTTCTCATTTGTTTTAAATGTCCAATAGTTCAAACACAGGATCTCGCTTGCAGTCCGAGACCATGAGAAACCCCAATGATCAGAACTGCAGGATTTCAGCTTACAGGCTGAAATAACAGGACTTAAAAACAACGAAAGCGATGGCTGGGACAGGATTGGTTATAAGACCACCACATATGCTCAAACCCGATGTAAAATGGTGTTTTCATACCTAAAACCAGTCTGACAGCATTGAAGTAGTCTCTGTCACCCTCCAGGATTTACTAGGCATTCAGAACCACAATGGAATGCTCAAGGCTTCCAGGTTTCAGGCAAGCTTCAGCTATTTGAGGGTTTGTACTTTTAAAACAATTCTTTGACTATTTGCAATGCACAAAATGCATTAAAGCTCAATAGATACCAGTGAGGTGGCACAGATAGGAGAGGAGGCAAAAGCTGACACAAGGTCAAGAGGATGTTTTTCCCCCCATGCACTTGAGGGTGTGAATGACCGAGCAAGTAACTGCACAGAGGTCTTTGGCCAGAAGAGGCAGCCAAGACGCTGCCCGGCTCTGTCAAAAGCTCTCCATGAGTACATCATCACTTACAGTTCACCTTAGCTTGCATAAGCAAAGCTTATCTAGGGATGCTCATTGCAAATAATCTGTTAATCAGAGCGGGACATCGCGTTTGCAGCTGTGTCCTCTCCCTGCCTCGTCAGCCTGATTCTGGTGGTGACAGAAGCCAGACCTCAGTCCCAGCTTAGAAGAGTCTGGGCTCCTCACATACAGGACAGAGTGAGTCCGAACACCATGAGACATCATTCTAGCAATCTTGGTTCTCCTCTGCAAGGACGACCCAGCATCAAAGACTGAGCCCTGGGTCCCCTGGGAAATACCAGGATCCAGTCTTCTTCCTACACCACTGGCATCCTCGCTTGCCTGAGGTCTTCACTTCAGAACTGAGGGTCAAGTTAAAGAGCAACACTCCAATAATGTTGTAAAATCTCCAAGGTAGGATTAAATTTAAGTTTGTGGTAACGTTGGCCTGATATTAACTGTTTGCTTGGGAGTGGCAGATAGAACAATATTCTTTGCAAAAAACCTGCAGGATCCCTATTCCCTGCTTTTATCTGTCAAGCTAAAACGGAGCAGGCAAAAAAGCTCTTCCTACTGTTCCTCTTATGGCTGGCTTAATGTCTAGCAAGCAGACCCACCAAGCAAAACCCCACCACACTATGCACTGCAAGAACATACGGAAATTAGTGGCTCAATTATCTCATGAAAATTCATATAGATAGAATCTCTGTACTTACCAAGGTATTGTTCATCAGTTTTTTCTCAGATGTTAAAAAAGACAGAAAAACCACACCAAGATGTTTGAGATTAAGAGGCTGGAATGATCTCTTCTGCACACTGAGGCTTTCTTCCTCTGCCTGCACCTCCAGACAGCTATGGTCAGTATGAAGAAGGAGCAGAAAATTGACAAATGGGGCTGTGTGGCCAAGCCAGCCGGCAAGCAAAGAAGCTTTGCCTAAAAGCAACGATGCTGCAAGCCCTTCTGAGACAGCATCAGCGAGGGATCCCACTGCCTTCCTGTCACCGCAGACTGCTCTTCCCTCTGCCTGTTCAGCTGTCCTGCACAAGAGATAACCAAGAGATACCAGCAAACATCATAGCCCATCGCTTACACATCAGTTAACTTATTAAACTTCTCTGCCTATTTGTGCACACTTCTGAAGTAGCATTCAGCCAGATTCTAAACATCTTACCTGCTTTGGGGACTAAATTCCAGTCTTTCAGCTGCTATTCTTAGAGATACTAGCAGATAGTGAACAACCATGAAAAGTACTGGTCTAAAAGACAGAGACCTGTTATCAATCATATTTCTGAACATAACTTACAATATCTTTTGCAACCAAAATAAAAACTGATGATTACAATACTGAAGTGGACTGCTAAAGCGTAAGAGCTCTGCACCTGAAAAATATCCCTGTAAAAACCAAGAAACCCCACAGACCATCATCTCCTATCTGAAGCTTTATACCAGGTTTGCATCATGGACGAAGACAAACATCATTTCCACCAGCTGCGGTTCACTGAGCCATTATTTATACAGCTGTGGTTCACTGAGCCACATTTATTTATATGCTCCTTAGGAACATTCAGAAGCAAGAGGGAGGAAAGCATCCCAAACCAAGCAAACCCCTGAACAGCATCTTCAAGTCCTATGCAGCATAGCTGGATTTATATACTACATTTAATTACACAACCGAAAAGCAAAGTACCGTGGTTTGTGCAGAGCTCAGGTGTAAAGCACCACCGGCCCTCGGGAGCTTCGAGCCCGAGCTGGGTGTCTGGGGGGAAGCAGCGGGGAGCATCAATCAAGAACGCACTTGGCAAACACCCCATCTCCCGCAAAGCGCCCGGTCTCAGAGCGAGCATCGCAGCGATCAACCGAAGCCGGCAGCAGCCACTAATTAATAAAGCAGCTCATTAGCACGCAACGGTTCCAACCGGCTGCTCCGCCCGGCCACAAGCAGCTCCCCGACGGCCGGGACGCGGCGGCTTCCGCAGGCACCGCCCGCCACAGCCATCGGGGAGCCCCCCACTGCCACGAGTGAGCCGCGGGATCGCTTACCGGAGCCGAGAGGGATGCGGGGCTCTGCCGGGGGTTACGGGGCTCTCCCTGCTCCGCTGCCCTTAAACCGGGGCCACCAAAGCCCCGCCCCCCGGAGGGGATGACCACGCCCCCTTGCCGCGCTTCCCTCCCCCGGACCCCCGGCTGCCCGCAGTGTGTGTAATGGCAAACCCTGTTTTGGGGGTTACAGCCCCTCGCAGAGCCGCCTGGAGGACACGGAGTCCTTTTCGTTTTGATTGCACCTCTTCCACCCTGCGATGTCCCCGGTTTTTCTGCTGTCAAACCCCGTAATTTGCCCTTTGCAGGTCTTTGGCGCGCCCTCACACCCGGACCCTGCAAGACTTGCGCTTCAGACAAAGCCATGGTGCTGTGGAGGTGTCAGTTCCTCTTTTGCCCCACTCTCTGTCAACAGTGAAGCAAACGTACGTACCTCATCTCTCCACCCCTCCTGAGAGCCTTCCCTGCCTTCCTCGTCTATGCCATGCACAGAAAAACCTTCTGTATCCCACGAGGTACCTGGCGGTGTGTTAGGAACAGTTGAATCATAGGACCATGGGATAATTCAGGTTGGAGGGGACCTCAGGAGACCTCTAGTCCAACCTGCTGCTCACAGCAGGCCAGGCCAGGCCAGGTTGCACAGGGCTTTGTCTCATCTGGTCTTGAAGAGTTTCAAGGGTGCAGGTCCAAGGGCCTCTAAGACTGAGCAACCTGTTGCATTGCCTGCAATTGCCCATGCTGGGAAGCAGTCCTGTGGTTTGCTTTAGTTGTGGTGCACATCTTGTTATTGCTCCATTCTGCCATTCCTTCTGCTTTTTGGTTCTCAGTGTTGTTAATCCTTCTCCTTTTTGTTTTTTTTTACTCTTCCTTCTTCTTTCTTTTTCTGCTGTTTACTCTCAAGAACAGGCAGATTCCCTCTTGCAAGGTCAGAGGGAGGGTGATGTGGGATCCAGGAGGCTGCTGCTGTTCCAGATGTGCTGGCAGCAGGGCCAGGGTTTCGGGGTGGGAAAGGTTTTCTCACCAGACTCCTAAGAGGAGGTCAGATGGTAACAGAGCAAGGAGACATGTGGGATTTGATAGACGCCAGGCATGGTAACTAGGGTCAGGGCTGGGATACTCATGGAATGTATCCACACTGCGAGTAGCTGGATGAAACCTTTAGTCCTGTGGTCTGAGCGGCTAGAGGGTGGCCAATCCTGACACCTTCATGCACCACAGGGACCCCTGTGCTCCAGGGAAAGGCTGGATCCATGGCACACAGACCCAGCACCCTGAGAGAGGATAGAGCAGACCTGCTTGGTTGCAGGGCCGTGGGTGACCATCCCAGGGATGGCTGGCACTGCTTGGAGTGTCCAGCTTGGTGACTTGGCCCTGGCTTCCACTTGATTCTTAGGGTTAATATGTGTGGTCTATACTGGCAGCTGCGAGAAGATGCTCCATCCCAACCATAAAGAGTAACAAAGCTCCCTTTTCCCCTGATTTCTGTGGGAGAAGAATGGATTTGGGGAACTTTCTGTGAAGAAAACCTCAGCCCTCATCACTCTCTCAGATCATGAAGCTGTTTTTCATACCCTACTGCAAATAGAACCTTTCTAACTAGCTGTTGTGGAAAAGAGGACTGAGAAGATGCAAGGCTGGGTGAGAGGGTAGGATATCTTCAGCACCATCTCTAGTAGGTATTTTTGTGGAATAAAGCACTTGCTTTCCTGAGACGAATGAAACAACTTATTACCAGAAATGTCTGCAAGGAGAGCATCCAGCAATCACATCACTGCTAGCCTAAATACTTGGAGAATTATGTTACTCTTTCACAGGCACAAATCTCTCCTCACAAAAGGAGGCAGTAATCCAGGAAATCGCATGAGGCATCAGCCAGGAGACAACATTGCTTCTGTTTTGTTGAAGAAGACAGAGTTTGTGTGGTTTCCACTCCAAATGCAAAGCAAAAGGTGAGAGATTGTGCTGGCTTTTCTGAGAAGTGGAGCAGTGTGGGTGCCGCCACAGAGGTTTGGGTACCGGGCTGCCCGCGCTGACTCAGCCTCCCTGGGATGCTGCAGCCGAAGTGCTTCATGGTGCTCCTGCACCTGGGTGCCTTTCCTCTCTCCCCCAGCCTGATCCACATCTGGGTTTGGAGGGGTCCCCAGGGTATTTGCTGGGGAAGATTTCTGGAAGTAGGGCTTTTAGGGACCTTTTAACCTGCTGTGATCCTTTCATCTCCTGCAAAGTGGGAGGATGGGTTTGTTAGGCCAGACAAGGATGCAGGAATATCCTTTTGCTGTGGTTTGGCTGCTGAAGGGCCTCAGCAAGCCATGAGAACAGGCCCATGGGCAATCAGCTGATCGCACTCTGTACGAGTACACTACCTACATGTTTGTAAAATATGAGGTTTGGATTTTGACATTTCTATAGCCATTATGGGGTTGGCTTCACCAGATGCTGAACACCTCCAGGTCTTGCTGGCAGGGATTCCTGGTGTCTTGCAGGTTAGCACTCTAATTCCCTTGTGTGGCTAACTGCCTTAGAAAAGAGAAAATGACATCATGAAGTCTTTTGGACTGTTGATCTGGAAAGCTGGATTTCCATGGGGTTTTTGGTGGTTGTAATAAGTAGAACAACCATGCTGTCAGGAGATGTGGTCCTGATAGAGCCACATGCTGCTTCCTCTTCCTGTTCTATACATGTAACAAAAGGGTGCTTCAGTAGATGGGTGAGATACAGCTTTCTTTAAGCTGTGTCCCCATTATTTCACAAGTCACCCTGCAGACATACCAGTCAAGAAATGAGGAATGTTCTGTGTCACTCTGTGGATGGCATGTTTGCAGGCAAAAGCAGTAGAATGTTTTCGCATTCCTGAAGGCTTCATTTACCGAGAGCTGGGAAATTATAATAATTCTCCTGGTTGTGTTAGAAATGACATAAAATCTGTATTATATGCAAAGCTGTCCGAAGTAGTCTATCATTCTAATATTTTTATTCATAATGGGACAGACCTAAGGTATATTTATTGTCCCTTAGGCTGGAACGGGGTGTTCCAGGGTCTACCCAGGTCAGCGGTGACTTCAAGCTTCATAATGCGGGTTACTGTGAGTCTGTCCAGGTAATCTTCGCTAGCATTTACTTTCAAACTGACAAAAGCTTGTGCTTTGATTTGCTAGGGGTTATTTTTTTCAGGTACTGACCCTGGCTTTATTGCCTCTCACCACTTTTTTTTTGGTAAAATATAATATATATATAATATTCTAACATGCAAGTTTTTAAACATAAAAATAGTCTATCAGAGATTTTTTGTTACCTTTTTTCCCCACCCACAATAGTAAAGTAGCATTTTAATTCTCTGATGTTCATTGCTTTGACAACAGTTTTCTGATTACATAAACTACCAGGGTTCTTTTTCTCTGGAAGATGGGAAAACAAACTTATTCTTGGAAAATTCAAGAGCACACAAGAAAACATTTCTCATGGGGAAACTCTAATCATCTTCTGGAAAGTAATCTTAAAAGCCAGAAATAGTATATGCAAGTTGGCTTTCTCTTTTTGGAAAGGAATGGAATAAATGTCATGAAAATATGTGATTTTTTGGCCCTGAAATTATCATGAGGCATATATCACTCTGTAATTTTTAAAAATGTAAACTGAAAGGCAAATGAATGTGCATTACTGAATCTTAACATTGATAACAGAGACACTTTACAGTTAATGAAACCCATATTTATCTAGTGCATCACTTGATACGCATTGCTGTTAGGTATTTGAGGATGGCCAGATGACCTATGACACAATATACGTCAGTTAAATTACCACAGAACATCAGGGATAGTAATAATTTACTTGTATTTGTATGAGAGTGTAACACCCTGCCAGCTGGCCTCCAGCAGAAGCTTTTCTTAGGAAACATCCATCAGGACACCAAACCCCTGCTTTTGAGTGGAATCGTTCCATGTTTGCTGTACAAATACACCCATGTGAAAATCAGGTTTTCCCTAGCACTAGATTGCATCGTTAAGGGACTTAAGCTTGGCTTCCCAACACCCACAGTCCATGTGCTCCATCTTCAGGAGGCTTCCTGGGTGCTGCCCAAGCTCTGGAGCACCTCCTGGGCTCCTGCAGTGGAGGTGGCTGACTGCTTCCCAAGGGCCTCCCTGGAGCTCCACAGCCATCAGCACTTTGTGCTTTACACCTCTAGGAAAGGCGATCATTAAAATGTCCTGATTTGGCAAAGATGTTTGCTTTTGGTTTTTACTGTTTTGTTTTGGGTTGAGAAGAAACACCCGGTCAGCTAAGACCTGCACAATTGCTCTTTGCTGCTCAAACATACACTGCCATGGCCTGAACCCTTACATTACTTCCTTTATCCACCAGCATCTTTCCATTTTGTCAGGGTTGCATCTATGCTCATCTGTTCT